CCGAAAAAACCACAATCATTTCATTTCCAATTTCTTCAGACCCTTTCCCACCTCTCCCTCTTCACTGTTTACTCTTTAAATCCCCGAGACGGTACGTCTATAGTAAATAAATTCATTCATTATCACATACCTGATGGACAAGAATGTTGGCTTTATTCACTTGATAAATTGACAAATTTCCCAGAAAACCTCGACATGTCTTATTCTTTTTCCGCTGTAATTAGCGTTAAATGTTTATAGGAGTGACGATGTGCCGCTGACTACAGCGGAAAATTCACCGGAAAAACCAAGGGATCAGGGGGGAGGAGGGGCACTACAACAAATCGGCTTAAACCGAGAAATAACGAGCAAACTACTGGCTCGTGCCATTCATTTTCCGAGGGAAACAGGCAAATTTTCGACTATTTACCTGAAGCATCAGGGGAATACGCGCGCCCTCTTTTACACCTTCACGGACAAAGTGAGAAGTTGGACCACCGTGTGAGGTAGTAGCCCAACTTCATAAAACCCTCACTAATGTCCCAGTACCTTTTTCCAAGCAGGGGGTGCCTATCCAATTGGGTGCTAACCATTGCCATCGTTTTTCCCTCTCCACTTGACTCTCAAGTGAGTACAACAAACAAACCGTCAAAGTGCACCCCTGATATTCAAAAATCCCGCCGATGCCTTTCAAAATCCATTTTAAGCAGGGACAAACAAAAAATTGACAATAATTGCCATGACAACAGCCCAAAGATTATCTTTGAAAAAATAAAACATGCGTCTTTTCAGCTCTCACCAAAATCACTGTATCTAGAAAAATTCAGGCCCTAAATCTCTTACCCTACCCCCTCCCCGACCCGTAAAATTTATGAAATAAAATTGCGCGCTAAATAGTGCAGTGAAATTGGGGTAATGAAGAAGAATGATGAATATTGGGGCACGCATAACTTTCCTAGAATTTACGTAAAAATAGTGATAAGAACTTCCACTGTTGATTACTTGAATTATCACTAATGATCACTGTATTTCTGGATAATTCGGTGTATTGACGATAGTGTGCGTTAATGCAGTATTTTTTATGAGTTATAACCATGGAGACTGGGCCGCGAGCGCGGAATAAAAGTGGGCGGGATGACTGAGTGTCGCAGGAGCCAATCCCGCTCTTTGGTTCTCATCCACTCCCCCACTACGATTGCGCCAACATTACACCGTGATCCCCCACTAAGCCCCCGCGAATCGAGTCGTGCGCAACTTAGTATCAACCTCCATGATTTTTTATTGGGTTTTTACAACCCCTCCGCCGAACCAATCACAAAGATTTGGCTTCAACAGAGGGATGGGTGGAGCAAAATAAACCGGTTGAAAAAAAAAACAATGAATTTACTGGAAATCAGTATTTTGAAATTCATCGTGATTACCTCCATATACAATCTATTTTGAAATTTACAGAAAATTAGAAAAACGAGGAAAAATAATGGAGTAACGAAAAATCACGCGAACCAAGGCATTGGGTTTTATCGATTAGGTTTGAATTTTTTAGTTAAAAATGTTAAGGGCAATGTGGTTTGGACAATTTCATATCAATATTATTGATGAATTTAGAAATTTCGAGGAATTTATCTACGACGACAGAATAAATTATTCTTCTGTGCAAATCCAATTTCGAGACACTTCCCCGTAAATCATTAGCGAACTGCTCATAAAACGCAATTTCTTTCGAACAATGTAGTCCTATATTGATTGAAAATTTATTGGTCCCGCGTTTCCACGAATTCAAATCAGAAAATGCAAATTAAGTGATGAACGAGTAGTACTGATCCAATCATTTGAACGGAAAGTCGTAGCGAATGGAAATGAACAATTTGTTGACAAAGTGCAAGTAAAATACCACTGTTGGGTGGACATTGACACCTGACGTGACGTGAAGTTGAGGCTTACACAGTGCGTCAATTTTGCGCACGCAAATATCCGATGAATTCGCATATGCCTGTCCCACCTTTCCGCATATTCTCATCATTCCACTTTATCGATCTCGAAAAAATTGAAAAAAAAAAAGTGGGCGAATGTACAGAGTAAAGGGTGTACGCGGTATCGTCACGGTTCCAAAGATAATTATGCGAGAGACAGGAATTTAATGGCCGTCGGTCATACCGTATACGAGCGCTACACACATCTAACCGTATTACGATAATTTTAGTAATTATAACGATGCATTGAATGTGTTACGTACTCAGCGAAATTAAAATTTCCAGAGGATATCAAATCCACGCCGTGCCCAAACCACTCTAAAACACTGATGAAAATCATTTCAAATTATCGATTGCCCTCGCAATCACTGAAAAACTTCGCGTTGATAAGAGAGGCTTCAATTTTAGGTAAATGTCTAGAACAAGCCCACCAAGACATAATAAATTAAATTTCGGGCTCGAAGTGACGGGATCTTTAATCCCCCACGTCCCCGCCGTGGCCCTGGATAACACAAAGATCGGTATAAAAATGCGCCTAACTTCTGTTCTAATTATTTGTGGAGACTAATTTTTTAAGATTCGGAAACCGGAAGAAAAAAGCCTCAAATCTGGATACACGCCGAAAAAATTGGAGCGGTGGACCTGTTCTAGGCATTTACCGAATTACTGAATGTTAATTTGAAATGTTCAATTCAATAATCTCTCTATAAGCCATGAGTATTTATCATAATTTTAGTTATCCGAGCCAGCCTCAATAAACCAACTACTCCAAGGTTAGAATCGAAAATTCAACAGCCGGAGCAATATAAAGTAGTCTACAATTTTGAAGGTGGAGCGGAGGGTCCTTTTATATTCCCCAACGGAGACCATCCTTCCAGGCTTGGTCCCCCCATAACCGGAGCGAAATTACCTCCAAAATCTAATTATGAGAATTTTTATAGGGCTATCGTAAAACGCTCGAAATAGTATTTCTCCCCTCAACGTTCTCCTCCACTGAGAAAAAGGTTCTCTCCCACCTTCCCCGTGGAGAAAAAAAGGTTGAGGCCATGTTTATAAAATATTTGGGGCGCATACCGATGGAAGAAAACGAAAGGGATTGTTTGAAATGAGCTTTTTGAAATTATAAATCCCACGCACAATTTAGTGCGTATTTTTATGAGAACGGTGTTGGATTTTTATCAGGGGATAAACTCAATAAAAAAACTATAAAGTAGAAAGCAAATTGATTGTTTTGCCTTTTCTTCATTTTCTCAATAATTGATGAAAATCCTAACTTCGACTTATCTCTCTTCGTTAATGCAATGTGGAATGTACAATTAATGCAATCAATAATTTAAATCAAGATCAATTCAAGAAGAGTGGAACGATTCATGCAAAAATTGATTGAAATAAGAATAAATTGTTTGATTAGCATCATAAATGCGTAAAATATGACATCTTCAATGAATTTATTCCCATAGATTCAGACCTATTTCTCGGCTCAATGAAAATAATGATAAATAATATTCCTCACTAAAGTTCAAATATAAAATTGTAATACCAAAAAATTAAAAAAACAAGAATTCGCCCCGATTTCGTGAATTATCTCGTAATTTTCCGAGGAATTTTCCCCGAATTTCGTCTCCCTCTTTAAGCCAGAAATATAAAATTACATTATGACAATGATAAAATGGAGAAAAGGCGCTTGCTCGACATCCGAAGTAAATAGTGTTGTCATGACGTGTAACTGACCCCCTCCTACCCAGAAAAAGGTTTGTCAAGACGTTAAACACGCGTGCGTGAGTGCTAAAACGAGAGTCTCGTGATCGAGTAGAGACACAGGGGTATACACAGTGTTATCGTAGATGAGAGACAACATCAGAGCCATCGAGTGAGGTGTAACGAGACAACGAGACGACGTCTTGACACATCATTGATCGGATATGTAATCTACGAATTGATACATCAAGAACTCATACATTAGCAGGTAGAGTTGTTCTCCCACCTGAGGGGCTATTTTTTAATCCATCAATTGCTACTGCACTCTTTGCAAATATATTTTCACCAATTGAGTCAAGCAGATTGGACGAACTGGGGGAATCCCCGCCTTTACGGATGCCAACGAAAAACAAGTCACCATCAGTTGGCCAATCCTATTCGTCGATAGCTGAGTTGGAGAAATACCTGTGCAAGCGATAGATGCACAGGCGCATGTACCGTAGCCACGATCGATCCAAACACATTAAATCAATTATTTCGATTTTCTTAATGACTCTCGAAGCCTAATCCGGGATTCAGAGCGAGAATGAGAAAAAATATACTCCAAAATAAGCATATCTATTCCCCATAGTTGCGCAAGAATTCATGATAAATATACTGCAATAAACTTTTTACTGAGAAATGACTCAATACGGAATAGAATTACCCTGCATACAACAGATTTAAGTTTTATTTCTTTTTTATTGAGAAATTGCAGCGATAAAAATTCACAGAATCCAAGAGCAACTAAAAAATATTCTGGATATAAACGCATACCGATAGGAGGTATTGCAGTCAAGCCCCCTCCACTTACCAAATTACGTAATATCAATGCTAAAATACTTTAAACGAGTCGCCAGGAGTCACTACAAGCCAATGAAAAATTCGTGAATCGAATCAAGCAAAATGTTGTCTACAGGAAAACAGCGGTGGACATAACAGAGAGAATGAGAAATGAGTGACAAAAATACTCGACACAACCCGGCACCCCGGACTTATCGAACATATTGACACTGTAAACACCTTTGAAATAACTGTAAACACTCAAAGGAATTGCCTGGTATTGAAATCCGGCGTAATCAAATCACTTCTGACCCAAAACCTTGATTCACGGATGAAAACAAATGCCGCTCGATACCACCAAATATACAATAGCGGAACAAACAATACTGGAAATAGCGCCACCAAAATAACCTCGATATTCTTTCACTCGGAATTGTCACTACTAGCGAATAATAGCGAATAATAGCGAATAATAGCGAATAATAGCGAATAATAGCGATAAATAACGATTAATAATAATAAATAACTCACCAGAGGACTATCAGGTGTGTGTCGATGATGTCCAAGCGGCATATTCGCCATAGCGACCCCACCACCAGGATTCCCCATGTCCTGATATTCGTCGCTTATCTCCATCGCGTAGGATGGCAACGGTTCTCTGTTCTTAACCCGAATTTTGAATGATTAATTCCGCCCCGGAGCGGTTAATTACCGTCAAAATTGACAACAGTTTGCCACCGCCACACTAATTCGGAATCACAACGCGGGAAAAATCTAGATGTCTCAATCGTTAACCGTAAAAAGCGAAAAAATAAAGAGTAACAAACAGATTTGGCGGGGAGGGGGAGATGTTAATAACTAGATGAACATCAGGATTCGCAGGGGGATTAGCACAAATCACTCGAGTTAATCCCAAATTCACTCACAGAACAATGAAGGTGTAAAGACGCATGTACCCAGCACACGTTTAAATTCCAAAATCCACAGGGTACATGTCTCCTTGGTGTCGGCACTCGAGTCTCTCACTGTTATCGCGAGGGGTATTGGGACGGTTGGGGGTGGGGCGGGGGAGATGGACAGGGGGGAAGGAATTCAGGGGGAAGGGGATGGCAATAACAAATGCACAGAAAATAATACTCAGTGTTCACGGTGAACAATAACGATACTGATGGACGATTTTAATGGATTAATTAAACGTTAGGATTTTTGGACACACGAGGATTATTAAACGATAATACGGACACAGGATAACGAGACGCGCGCACACTCGCGTCCCCTTGCGATCTGAGGCGACGGACGATCGAGGCATCGAGACTCTGGTCCCCCCACCACTCCATTTCCAATCCTGGGCTCTGAATAAATGGAGGCGGGATTTATCGTGCGCCGACGGGGTGAGGAGGTGGCACCTCTGGCGCATAACCACGCCTTTTATTCTTTGCCCAGTGGAAGGCCAATATCAACCGGCTTCCGCCCTATCGGATAACGACCCCTCGATATACCGGGCTCATGGAAATTTTTCGAACCTCGACCCTCGGCCACACTAGTTTTGCCAGAGGCCTGAGTAATCCGGGATTTTCCCGAGGGATAATTTTTATCATTTGCGTTTAGATTTTCTGTCCCTGTCTGACGAGATTTCAGGAATCAAATTATGAATGGTTAATTAATTTTGGATGATTTATGAATTTTACTCTCGTCGTTGACGCTAAAGTGAGTGTTTCGGGTGAGCAAGCAGATTGATAATTTTTCAAAGGAAAAAATTGATAATCATCGTTATGAATATTTGAAATAACTATAAATCATGAGAACTAGGCTTTATTGGAATGGCGCTAATTTGCATTGAAATGAACGAGAAGAGAAGGAACGGGGAGGTGTTAATAATGATTTTTTTAATTAATTTTCCAGTGATTTAGATAATTTCTGTATTCAGCTACTCGGCAGTGGACAAAGTCAATCATCGTGAGAGCACCCAACCCCGCATTGAAAATACACACGCACGCGATGCTCCAATTGAAGAAAAAAGAAAATTGAAGAGAACCAATAAATTCAAGGTCGAATGTACTAGCAATTGTTCGAGTTACTACCGAATATTTAAAGCACTTTGAAGGGAAACCTCGCCGTTAGCAACTCCTTAACGAAATAAAAAATAGTCTGAGTAACACCTTTCCGACCCATTGTATTAGCCGGCGAGTTAGAGAGAGGAGGATCGATAGAAGAAACCTCGCGGTTGATTATCCATGAAAATCGTTCCCACGAATAATGAGTGGTTACCTTGGACGTTTGCACCAGCGTGTCTCGGGTACATTGTACGTACGCTTCTTGAAAACGTTGGGAATCGTAAATAGATAGTGATGCTTCACCTGCGGTAAACGAACGAAGGTGAGGAATAAAATAAAAGTGAGATGGCAGAATAGTGTTGTGCTTTGCACGAGGTGAAGAGAGGGTGTAGTTAACACCCCGACGGTTATTTGATTCCAGTATAATAATATGAAAGCCGCTGCGAGGTGTTTTACACCGTGGACGTTATTATTTTGCCATTAGAATTTTTTTGAATAAATTCCCTCTGTATAGCTCTCGATGCTTTTTCACTTTGCATCCTTCCGTTTCTCACTTATCTCTCGTACATATCGATGATTGCCGGGGAGAGCTTTATGCTCATTCGTCCCCCGGACAAGTATCGAGGGCGCCATTGCTATGGGGGCAATGCCAGTAGTGCAAATTGCATGTAATTATGGTCTCAGTGTTTGTGTGCAATGGGCCACCTCTTTTGGTTATTGTCGAAAGAAGGGGTTGTTGGCGAGTTTAAACCCCATGTGAGCGTGTGAAACTTTGAATTTTATGATTTACTAACGTGGGGCTTTTATTTATTTTAATGCATGGTGAGAGCAATAGCAGTGAAAAAATCGGAAAGATATGGTCATTCCCATATCGCTCGGGTCAATATTCGAGATACTTGAGCTTTATATTTCTTGGGGGGTGGCTCATGGCTTCTCATATTTTTTTCTAGATTTTTCGTCCTGGTTCCAAGGCATTTCGCTTTGGAAATTTATTTTTATGAAGAAATCGAGAGAATCTGAAGATGGAGAAAAGTTTCTAGAAAAATTTTAACACTGACGCAGAATGGGAATTTTTTAATGAAATTTATACTCAAATTCTCCGAGATTTTTATAAATATATCCGTAAATTTTTATCAGGAACTACAAGAAATTTTGAGCTTCTACTCAATCACTCTGTGAGAATTGAAAGACATTTGATAATGAATATTCAAGTCCCAATTGGAAATTCAGGATTTGGAATTTTAAAAAACAACAAGGATAAATATTTTGTTATCAAATTAAAGTTAATTCCTGTCCTCATTATTATTTAGTTATGTATAGAATGATTATTTCAAGAAGAAGATTAGTGAATCAATAAGTTGACAAGTTGGAATAATTATTGGTCTATGACTACTTGGTTAACTGCGCCATTCTTATTACTTGTAAATACCTAAAATCCAATGCAATGTGCGCATTTGCCTGGCTAGATTGAGGACTCAACTCCAGAGCTGGAGGTGTGCCTTCAAAATACGGTATAATCTGAAAAGGTGGTAGTCATGACTTTAATACATTTTTCCCGGAAATCTGGCCCTCAGTATTTCATGAATGAATAGACCTGGGAATAAACAATCCGCCTGGTCGTGTGCGAATGAGCATGTTTTGATTATTCCTGACCACCATCGATTTTCCAATATTTACGACGTATTGTCCTTCAGGCCAAAGGTACAATAATTCTTAGAAGGCTTCACCCAACCCAATAACAGCCCTTCTATTTTCAATTGAGCCATTGTGAGGTTCCTAACTTTTCAAATCACTCAAAATTTACCAAGCAAATCAATCAAAATCAATTTTTTTTTAGGTAACAACAGTTTTGAGATTTAAGGAGACATAACAACTAAAATTGAGACTTCTTGTCACTTGTATCAATTTTTTATATAAAGAAATTACTTAATTAGTTTTGTTTTTCTTTGTAAAATTCAGGAATAGAATGTCAAAGTTTTGAAATACTCTGAGCGAGTGGCGAAAATTCATGAGGATAAAAAGAGTGTCTCCCCTGTATTCCAGCATCAACGCAAAGATCAATTTTCATTTCATAAATTCAACCCGATAATAGAATCGAACTTCAAAATATTTATTCGACTTCTAAGAACGTTTTGTTAGCAGCTAAATCATAAACCCGGAAATTCCGATGAAATAATACCTCGAGTGATTGCGTAAATTCAAACATAGCTATAGCACATTGTCCACAGGATGAAAAAGAATAGACATTTAAGATTTTCACGGAAGTGTAATTATTAATACGTGTGTCGTAAAATGGATGGAGGATGTTTGAGAAGCCGCGCCTAAAATCCATCCACGTGACACAGACATTAACCACATAGAGAGACTTTGGCACCTTCGATTGACAATTCTCATGCCCATTTCTCAAGTTTACCTGGAATTGACTAAGACCCATCGCTCATATAACTCACTTATGCCAAAGCAATAATATCCAACGTATCGATCGTTATCACCATCTCGTTGAACACAGCCAAATATTTGCACAACCAACGATACTTGGCTATTTTTTTTTTCACATGTCTATTCACATGTTGCGCTTTCACGTTGAGCAATTACAATAATAATTGTGGGTTGGTATTGAGTTAGAAAGGGTGGGGAACCCCATCCGATTGTCCACTCTGTCGAACGCTCCTCTTGCCGCTGGTCAATCCAACGGTTTTACCACTAATTTGTCGCTGTCCATTATTGTGCAAATCGGTACCGAGGCGGATTGTCGTACCAATGGAGAGAACAATATGAATGCACGATGCGTGTTATATATTTAGCTCTTTTTTTTTCTCTCACCCTGAGTTACAGCCACCCCATCGTTAGTGCGCCGAATCAACCGGAAATTCCAGCTTTCGCCGCTTCCTCATTCATCCGAGATAAAACTGTATGGCGCACAGATGGAATTAGTTTCGTGGGGATTTTTTTTCGGTTTAGATAATAGAATCACGGGGGGTATTGTCACCTAGAGTGTCGATTGTCATGAAAATATCGATCAAGGGGATGGCTCGGGTTCATCCATTTTTTTTTATCTCATTTTGATAATAGGGTGATGAGACAGACGGGGAAAAATTGTTGCCACGAATAATGACATTCGTCGAAATGTTTATTGATTTAAAAAGAAATCCTCAATTTCATTGAGTCATTATCAGCGGAATGGAAATGGAATTGGATTCAGTTGGGAAAGGCTTATGAAATTTTGAACTGCACTGAAAATTCCAAAAATTAATTGAGCCAATATTGTATTGAGTGATCCATAACTTTCTTATCGAATTAAGAATTTTAAATGGGAAAAATTCCACGAAATTGCAAAGGAAATATTTGCAATATATTGCCTATTCAGAAAAAAGGACTCTCACTGGCAGTGATGGACAGTTTGTGTTCAGCAGAAATGGGAAGAACAATCACCTTCACTATGTGGTAGAATATACTGCTAGAGAAACAATGAAATTTCATGGATTTCACTCAGTTGACCTGTAATTTTTACGATAGCTGTATTGTCACTGCAGTCGTTACTGATTGCACGTGATTTGAAATTATGCGTAAATATTAAACCAGTCGATTTTGAATAATCAACAGAGACCTCTTCCCCGACCAGAAAATCCACTTTTCATTGATTTTCTAGTTTATTCACAACTTAGTACTTTGGGCAAACACGGTGTTGAGATAATTGTCCTCTATTGATTCTTCCACTGTGAAAAAGGATTTATGATTTTATCATTAATTTAATTTAATCACCTTTCCCCATAAAATATTCAAGACGTCTAACGCTTCATAATGCATTTCCCGAGTTCTCCGTTTTCCACACATTATTCCAGAATTCTGCGGGAAAAAAAAGCGGCAAAAAATAGTTGAGAAAGTTTGACGTCGGGGAAACCATCGCGAGTTATCTTGGAAATTAGACACCAGTGAGGAAGATCGTTTTGAGGATCATTAATTATACCTACCACGAGTCCATGAAGAAAAGCCGGAGAAAAAGAGATGAACAAAGTGTAAATGCGGGGAAAAAAGATAAGCATTATTTGGTTTTGAGAAAGAAGGACGGGGGAAGATAGATGTCGCCATTTCGAGTGGAATTGTTTTTCAAAGATTAATGACTTTATGCTCCATTATCACTTCTATATTTGTAATTACACGCCTCCTTACCCCGATCAAATTTCACAATTGTCGGTGTCTGTCGAGGCTTTTTGTTTCCTTCATCAATTTTAATTCGTTTAGAAAGTTGATGATTGGGAGGGTTCATTTAAATCCGCATTTCCTTATCGACCCACGCATATATTTATACCGCCAGCCAGAACGAGACCAATCTTGATCGAGGGATACTTATTATTGTGAAGAAGATTAATGATCCAACATTATTTGCGTCGCAATTCGATACGTCGAATTTACGTATCGTACGGTGTTATTGATGACATGGAAAGTCTATTTTTTTTTTTGACTCACCGATTCTAAAAATGTCATTTTACATCCACATGCCCCGCAATGTTGTAATCCTCGATGATTGAAGGGGTGAATGATGACTCTGTGTTTGCTTCTGAAAGAATGTTGAAAATTATACGAGTGCGAATTGAAAAATGAAAATATGTATTGAGAACTCAAAAATTTATCATTCTGTCCGCGTTTAATTTTCAGCGAATGCAATCATGAAACTTCAATGCAATAACTTTTATTTCGTCTTTAACGTAAAAAATACTAATAGTAATATTCAATGTTATAAAATTGGCATAAAAGTCGCAGTCTTTATGTACATGTGACTTTTATAGGCCTTGAAATAGAATTTATGGAAGTATGAATATTGTGAGTAAAACGTGAAAGTTAGATGAATTATTACATTTTCTTTTGAATTCGGCAATCTTATCGATTTGAGAAAATGGTTTTGACCTAATGCTCTTCTAATAGGTGACATTGATAGAACAAATTCAATAAATATCAACACGTCCATTTTAAATCGGAGAAGATAATCAATGACATTGATCTCTGGATATGCGATGTTATCTTTCATTGAACAATCTTAAACAATCGATTTTACTATTACGCTCAAGATCATATTAACGACAAATGTCCTGTTCAAGTACTCATTCGCCATCTTTATCTTTCAAAAATAACTCCATACACTCAACACTCATCGGTAAAATAGCGCTCTTTCCACAAGTAAAGTTGACATTTTAAAAACAAATAAAAAATATAATTTATTAGCCCATATCCTATATATTGTTGATATATTTTTTATTAAAAATCTAAAAATCATCAAATCGCGTATCTATGGAAAAGTTAAAAAAAGTGTTTTTAATAAATGTTTATCTTTCTCTAAAATAAACATAAAACGGCATTTTACTAGCATTATTGTCGTGAAAAATCATGAGAAATCGGTGAATTAAACAAAAGTTAATGAAAAATTGAATTGATATGCAGCCAGTAAATGAGAACTCAGTGATGACAGCAGCGAATGATTATCTTCAGTGAATATCATCCGTTTCTCTACTATTGACTCATAAAAACATCTGTTTCCCAGTAATTCATTAATCAGCGAACACTTTATTGCAAACGGAAAGCAATTGTATCTCTAACCTCCGCTGATATTGGTGTAGAAAATGAAAAAAAAAATTCAATTATCACAGTTTTATCAGCGGAGCTCGCTGAAGAATCTTGCATATTACGTTCTCTATCCAGTAGTTTCAGTGGCTCACAGGAGACGCCTACTGAGTGCCTAGATTCCAGCTGATTCCCAAGAAAAAAACAAATACAAGACTTTTCTTTGTTGATTTCTCCCCGAATCGTTAACATTTTGTTTATTGTCTATTTTTTGTTATCAACGGGGGTGGTCTTTTGTGGATCCGAAGATGTCCTGCACAAGTGAGCTCTCCAGATCCAAAGAATATCAGAGTTTTCGGAGTTCAGTTCCACTACGGAAAATTGTCGTTGACAGCGATGGGGCGAAGGTATAACTAAAAAATCAAACTTTCTTATCTGAATTCCGTTTTGCGCAGTGAAACTGTTGGTGTCTCACTTGTAAATTGATATGATTTATTTATAGGGATGGAAAGTGTATGACTCGGGCCCGAAGACTATCAAATGTCCCCTCATGTGTTTACCGCCTGTCAGTGGCACTTCTGATATTTTCTTTAAACAAATACTCAGTCTAACAGCTAAAGGTTATCGAGTTATATCCGTAAGTAGTGTAAATTACAGTTTATCGATTGTACGGTAGACGCGTGTGTCTTTAAAAATACAAATTCTTTTTCATTGTCATAAGTCTCCGTGCCACGTCACTTTTTAATTTTTACCTTTGCACTTAGCAATAAATTTTGCATTCAGGCTGAGCCGCCAGTTTATTGGAGTGTCAAAGAATGGTGCGATGGCTTCAGAAAACTATTGGATTATCTAGAATTAGATCGAGTTCATCTGTTTGGAGCGTCCTTGGGTGAGGAAATATTTTATTGGGAACTTATTTCATAATTTCATCAATAAATAAACAATTGGAAAGAGTGCAATCAAGAGAGCGAATAACCATAACGAACCACGTCATTCAGTCTAAAAAAACCCTCTCCGGTATTCCATTACAGGAGGTTTCCTAGCGCAAAAATTTGCAGAGGTCAATTCCCATTGTCCAAGAGTTGAGTCTCTGATATTGTGTAACACCTTCACTGACACGACAGTATTCAGCTACAATGATTCAGCTGCTATGTAAGACACTTCCTATTATCAGTAATTTCAATTGTCCCGGAGTGAAAACAAGCAAGTAATAAATTTCGCATCTATTTTTTATAGATTCTGGATACTACCATCTCTGGTACTTAAGAAAATGCTGATGGGCAATTTTTCCACTGAAAAAGTAGACGGTGAGATGGTGGATGCCATCGATTTTATGGTGGAACGAGTGAGTAAATGAAATATTAATATAATCATTCAATTCCTCATTTTCTACATTCATGTCAACTTTCAGCTAGAAAGTTTGAGTCAACCAGAACTGGCATCTCGACTTACGATGAATTGTGTGAGCAGTTATGTTCAACCTCACAAAATGGGTAGTGTCCCAGTAACGATAATTGACGTATTCGATGAATATGCATTGTCCAATGTTGTTAGAGAGGAAATGTATAAGTGTTATCCAAATGCTAAACTGGCACACTTGAAGAGCGGTGGTAATTTTCCGTACTTGAGTCGTTCGGCCGAGGTTAATTTACATCTTCAGGTACCACTTGAATTTTACAATAATTATTACGTATAAGAACAATAATTTTACACACGTTACATTTATCCGACGACTGTTACTTTAAAGAATAAACTACTTCCCCGATGACGATTAAGCTATAACATTTTTATAGTACATTGTTATAGGACATTTTATTGAAGGGTACCATTCATGAATTTATTGCATCATAATTTCTCTCCCTCCAGATTCATCTCAGGCAATTCGAGGAGACTGAATACGCAGCGTCCAACAGAACTGAACCAATTCCTGACACTGTGGTCACTTAAGCCCAGCACAAAAAGAAACAAACTTGAATGGAATTGCCAACCCAACATGCCAAGCGAGCTTTCACCCCACGTGGTATGCAGACCCTCGCCCTGGAATGATAGCACCACTCCAAATAGCACCAATTCCTCCACCAATTGGTGACGTATCGCAGGTCAGCTTCAAAACAGAACCCTGTAAACAATCCAAGCTGTCCATGACGAACAAATCTATCGATACTCTGAGCATAATTCTTATAAACTCGTTATGATACAATGCTATTCTAAGAGAGATACCTAGTCGTTAATTTTCAGTAAAAACATTTCTTTTCTCATGAATTACCCATTCCTTATCCTCATTCAAAGAAAATTTACGAACACTGAATATGTATAGAAAAAACCAATTATACTATGTTCATATGTAAGAATTCCGCATAGACCTGAAAATATACAATATAATTTTTCTATTGAATCGCTGTAGACTTGATAATTTTTTCCTGCCAGTTCGGCATTAATGTTCTGTTGTCAAGCACAATTCCATTACTTAAATTTTGCTTCCGTTTTCAGATAAATATAGATTTGAACCTCTAGGTGCACACATTTCAAACGCTCGATTTTCATTCCTCCACTCAAGTGCAATAATTCGTCTTTTGAAGGTTTATCAAATATACGTTCCATGCAATTTTATTTTTTCTCAGCCGTCCCGTTTCCTTAGAAAATCTTATCGGAACCTTCGCTGTCTTCGGTGAAATAGAAGAGATCGGTAATAAGCTGCGGCAAAACAACTAAATAAATTTTTGCAATGCCAATGGCACTAGGTTGTCTGACGAAAACAATGAGTGACAATGGCTCCCACCATAGCGGTTAATGAACTCACCAGCCTGAGAGACCGTACAACAACCAGGTATCGATTTCCCCAGGTTTGTCACTCGCATTTCTCTTCACGATCTCGTATTACCACAGTCGGAAACGCTTGCAGACATGCGAAAGCCATTTTCTTAGTGCCAGGCGCGTCGCGATTATCCACGAGTCCACGAGAAATTAAAAATCTCGACGGTTTCCTCCCGAACATAAAATATAATCCCGAGGATCTCTCTCCTTCGTTGCACTGCAGAAATAGCTGCAGATAAGATTACTTGTCTCTCACTTTATATCTAATAAAAAATAGTCATATTTGTAGACGTCAGCCCTTACTTGTCACTTGAATAGTGCACGGCGTTGCAACCGGTGAGTACGAATGGAGAACCGGTTGCGGGGGAAATTTGTGATATTCATTCGTAAGTAATAACGAGTGTAAGTTGCCAATTATCGTACCCATTCATTACTAACATCTTAACGTATGGAAGTAAGACATGATTTAAGATATTTAATTTGTGTGAATGAAGTCTGATCGAAAGGAAGTATTCTGTCAATTTAAATTACTCGTCGTTGTTTCACCAATAGACTCAACTGTAAACGTGGATGTTTGATGTTTGAAAGTTATGTAATCTTTTGCACTTGATTATTCAACTACTGTTATTGTTAGCGCAGGTGAATGGGTGACAACATATGATTCTGAAGGAAGTTTGTCTTCAATGGATAAGGCAATCAATTGTGAACTGCAAAGTGAGCCATTGCCTTTCCTATTGAGCAATTCATCAACATTGTTTGAGGAAGATGACGCAGGAGGAAATGACTCCCCTCGTTGAGGGAAGGATCACCCTGAAGACCAAATTCGCCTATTCCCTCGGGCACGTTTTTAATGATTTGGCAGCTGCCATGTGGTTCTCATACACTCTGATCTATCTCCAGAGGATTGCTCTTCTAGAGCCTATCAGTGCTGGGGCGCTGCTACTCCTCGGTCAGTTGAGAGAAAACTATCATTCCTTGCAGAAATTTATTCTTCCTACAAAGCCAATCGAAAATTGAAACAAATTAGTTTCTCAGTCAACTTATTTCAGTTCAGTGTCAACGATAAGGATTTGACAATATTTTCAAGTGACATAATTTTTAGGACCTTCGTAGTCATTTTGGTAAAATCTATTCAATCATTTTTGGTGTAATTCCTAAACTCTAGTGCTGGCAAAATTAACATCGGCGTTATCGTAATGCCTTTGGCTACTTGGACCCTTAATAACAGGGCTTCTTCATTTTTTCTTCAAGGACAATTGGTGGATGCGCTGATGACACCAGTGTTTGGAGTTCTGATGGATAGATATAGCAAGAAAAAAACTTGGCACATAATTGGATCGGTCCTCGTTGCACTCTCATTCCCCGTAATATTCGGCAACTTCTTTGAATCACTCGCTGGATTGTCGATGGCCATTTATATCCTCAGCATCACCATTTTCCAGACAGGATGGGCGGCTGTTCAAATATCACACTTGTCGATGATACCAATGCTCACTCATTCACCATTGATCAGAGCGGATCTCACTGCGATACGGTAAATAGAAGTCATTGTTATCTCATAGCTATCATATCAAGTGCTCCTTATTTTTTTTTTATAGATATTCCGCACAAGTTAGTGCTGCTGTATTTGTCTTCCTCGTGACGTGGATTGTCTTGCCGACCAATGACGAATCCATGGCAAAACTCAGCAAACAGGACGGCTACAAATTTCGAGTAAATTTTCCACATATCGACCTAGGGAAATCATTCGAAAGATTTAAGCAATAAACTAATTAATTAAATATTTTTGACAGTATCTAGAGATGACGTGAATTTATCGCGTATTACGAAATTCTTCTATTGCAACGAAACACGAAGAACTATCGCAACTTTCTCTTTCATACTGAATAAGAAAAAACAAAATTTCGAATGAAAAGAGACAATGCCTTTTTTCATGTAATAGAACATCAGAATGAATGAATTTTGGGGAATTGAGTAGTTTTAAAATATTTTCTCACTCAATAAATAATCACATTCTTCAGCTCAGTATTTACAATTCCGAAAAATCGGGAGAATAATTAATTATCCTCCGAGCAATCTTATCCCCTGAATATCTCACAGAATGTTTATAAACTAGAACCAATTCGATTCCCCCATGGTTTATCCATATTTTCTCATTGTTATAGGATATAGTCGTCGTAATCACAACGTTCGGTATAGCAGCAACGGTGTTGTTTCATGCATTTTTAAAAGCCAAACTTTTAGAAATCGTACCAGTGGCCTCTCAGAAATCAGACAGCGAGGCGCCACAGCGAAATGAAGCTGAAAGTAATCGTAGACCTCGGATCGGAGTTACCCTATTGTTAGGCGTCGCTCTGCTCTACGTAGCAAGTAGATTATTCATCACTCTGGCGACAGTCTATCTACCGCTCTACATTGAAGAAACAGATGTAGGTGGAAAGCAGGCATTGGCAACTGTACCATTGGTGTCCTATCTGGCATCATTTGCTGCTGCACTCACGTTAAAATACATCAATAGATCCTGCGGTACCAAGGTGAGATATCTTCATGACACTCAGAAAAAATATTTATTCCACTTGAATTAAATTGATTCCATTTAAATGAATCACTTTTCCAACTGAATAATTTACCGTAACGTGAAACTGACCATTTTTCGTTGTTGAATTATATCTATTTTGCATGAATATTCCTCCTTTCTATTCTGTTTTCATTTATTTTCGAAATACTCCAATCATGCCAACAATGAATGCTATATTTCTTTGTAGATTTATATACTCGCATAAATACGTATATTACAAAACGGGTTTCATTTTATAGAAGCTGAGAAAAATCGTTGTATTAGAATATAATTATACTAACGATAAAGTAGTCATGAAAATTAATGAATTTAGATGATAAAAATGATAAATGCAAAACCCCTCTTTGATCAGCTTTATCTTTCTGAGATAGTTTCTTACTCTTTATTTTCATGTATTTTATTTCCCTCTACTCTCATATCGAATTCAATTCAACTCCGAGAATTAATTCCTTTATTATCGTAAACACCGGCCAATCCCGTTTTCTCTGCATGCATTCAGTATTCTCCATGGCTGAAATGAAAAAAAAAAAAAACCTTTCTCAAAGAAAGATATCTGCCCGCAGATATGCTATCTTCTAGGAGCTCTAATTGGAATTCTGGGTGCTGCAGTCGCCGAATACGCTGGAAGATATGAATTCATTGTGTACGCAGTTGCTACTTTAATTGGTGCAGCGAGTTCAATTACCATGGTAACAGCACTGAGCGTCACCGCTGAGATCATTGGTCCCAGAACTGAAAATAGCGCACTAGTGTACTCCATTGTTACTTTTTTGGACAAAGTCGTAACAGGATTAGTCGTCGTGCTCATCGAACACTGGTAAATTCAATTCCCCGCCATAAAACAACGACCGCCTCCCAAGCAGCATTTATTCCTAAATTTACTATCTAAATTCAACTTGTTTACAGGCGATGCGACGACAAGGAGCTCTGCCCGAATTACAATCGCGATACATTATCAGCAGTTTGCGCTGGCTCAATGCTACTAGGTTTCGTCACATTGATGTCAGTGGGGCGATGTCTGTCCCCATGAAATCTCGATTGTGTTTAATTTTTAATAGAACACTAGCGCTAAAGCAATCGGGACGTTGATAAAATTCCCATTTTGAAATGCATTTGCAAATGTTTTATGAAAATGATAATTGATGTTTCGATAGTTACTCATTAATCACTTCGCTCCAGTGTTATACACTTATCTGCTAGATATATCTCGCATTCGTTGCTATTCAATATTCCATCCCCAACAGATAGTAGATATGGAGAAAATTCTGTTTCTTCTCGTAAGATATGCATATTCTCTGGCAGAGTAAACTTGGAAAAGATGGCTTTCACTAATGCGTTACTCTTTTCCATGCTCTCCGCCATGAAGCTTTCCAGTCCCTGTTTTTTTTTACCAAAGGATGCAGAATAAAAGTGTATAAAATTTGAATTTCTGTATTTTTATGAGAGCGAGAGACCCAGCCTATCGATGGAGCGACTGAGCTCAATATCAGTCCAGAGATGTCGCCACCAGCGATAATTTTTTAATTTCCACATTGGCATGTCATTCTTCAAGATGTGATCAACCGAAGCGCCATCCAGCGCCATTTTCCCTGTGTCGCGGACGATGACCTGCCGGATATTTGCGCGTTCAACATCTCTCGGTACTCCACACTAATCCAATAAACAGCCAGTTGTTATAAACAAATAGCACGCTATGCTAAAGCAGTCGAATCGCGATAATAATATTTTTCGTATTTACAACTCAACTTGAAGTTTATGAACGAAGAGTATTTGATATTTGTGTATCAGTATTTAGAGAGCCACGAGGCGTCCGTGTGGTTTGTCCATGGGAAAACTCGTTACGGAAGGTGAGCCAGTGCGCAGTCGTGCAGTGCGCAGATTCTTGTTTTGCCTCAATTCATTGATGAGGGGGGGTGGGGAGGATGTGGTGGGGTAAAGGGAACACGGCATGACATGGTAGCGGCAGTCTAGTAAACAACTTGTGTACGATTCGTGCGGAGAATCGCTCGTGTCGGTTTGTTATTGCTCTAATCCGAATGTGTGAAAAATCCACATTGAGTGAACCACCCAATTACCATCCACTAAATATCTACCCAACAGGCAAGTGATGTGAGAAGTTTTATAACCAAACATTGTGTTTTTTTTTTTTTTCTAACTTTTCCCCGCCCGTTTTTCCTTGTGAGTTTTGTTTTTCTCTCTCGTGAAATAGTTGGGAGTTTCTGTTTTCTTCCTTTGTCAGTGTGTGAGTGCTACGATATTTGAGCCATTGGGGGCGATTATAATCGAGGCTAGTGAAACTGCTCTTTGGAGAAACGTGTGTTCATGATACAGTGAGTGGATTGACGTAATTATTAAAATTATTTATTCATTCTATTGTCTAGATCACACAGTAGTCCGCATTCTTGGATATTTTTCGCTCTCGAAACCGCTCTGAATGCTTATCCTTATCCCCCACTAGCTCAATGCCTCTTTCTCTCTTGCGACTCGTTCTGTGCCTTCTCTTTCCCTTCACTGTGTGTATCCCTGTATCTACCGACGTTACGACGTATTTTCGGAGCTTGCCGTGGCCCCGTGGTATGTCGTGGTCTCTCTGTTTTGAACGGGCTATCGACGGTGTCAGACTACCACATTCGTACACACAAATATACACACACATTCTCTCTCAATTCCCTTGACATCCTCCCCTACCTTCCCCTACCTTCCCCGCCCCTCCGTTAGGCTCGTGTTGTTCCTCTTTTCTTTTCTCCGTCAATAAAAGTTTCTTGAAGAAAATCATGTTTCTGCGGTCTCGTGATATATTCTGAAAATCAAGCATAAAAACGACCAAAGATAATGAAATCTATCCTCTCCCCTTTTTACCATTTACAGTCGCCTCTTTTCTACTTTTTTTTCTTCTCTTCATCTCTTTATCGTAAACAAATGAGCCCACCCGGTATATTTGCGTACGTGCACAGTATGTCTATGTTTCTGTGCGGTACAGTCATTGGGGCATTTTGCTTGCGAAATCACCGATGTCTCGGGGACGAGTCGCGCGCGCTCTTTTCACCACCAATTCCACTACTTGGACATTACCATCGTTATCACTGTACAGAACACATCCAACTAATTGAAGCAGTACGAGCGCACTCTCTCTTACTTCCCCTCCATCCTTCTCTTTTCACTGCATTTGTGTTAATCTGTCTCTGGTGCTCCCTGCATATCACCAAGAGTGCAAAATATGCCGTGAAGAGAGAATGAGAGGGGTCGCGAGGACGGGGACCAGTTGCCTTTGCTTTTTCTTTATTTTTCCGTTGAGCGGGCGGTGTGTCGTGTTTCGCTTTACCTCTACTTGTAAAATTCCGGACGGCTGCGTCGTCGGTTCGAGGAACTTTCCCAACTGTTCCTGGTGAGGTGAAGCACTCACGCGCTCTCTTGTGGAGTCGATTGTGTGCGGTTTAAGTCCAGATATCGATACCGAAAAATCGATGCGTGCGCTCCCCTTGAACAGGGGTTGTATCACTTGGGGAAAGAATGGGGAGAGCATTTTCACGGAACCCGAGGGTTCACGTCGGCGGTCATTAGTGATTGCCGATCCTGGCATCGTCATACTGATACTCTCGGGGTAGATTTATCCACCGGGGGAAATCTCCGGGCGAGATGTCGTCAATTTTCTATTGACGCCAGATTGCATTTACCAGGGAGCGGTTTGCCACGGGATTTGGGGGACGTAGACTACCGGGTATTTTGGTGCAGTCATTGACCAGATAGAGAACGCGACAAAGTACCCAATGTGACACCACACAGATGAATGCATCTTTATTCTCCGAACCGGCTTTCCGTTTCACTCGGTGCAATTCTCCATCTTATGAATTTCAATTTATTCTGTCGATTAGAGGATACGTGATTTGGTCAATAGAGTTGCACGGTCGATAGACGTACTTTTATCATTTTCTCCTATTTACGTCATGATTCAATGGCTTTTCCATGAAACGAGGGAACACTTGAGATTCCTTGAAATCGGTTAAAGATATGATTTATGCCACAATCTCACATATTTCTATATAGTTAAATATTTTTTTTGCCTCGTGTTTCGCTGTTTTAAGTCTTTTTTTTTATTTATTATTTTATTTTCCTTTTACTTTCGAGGTATACAAAAATGTGGTCATGAGTTTGTGAAATTCTTTGGAAAATCGTAGATATAATGTTCGTGATAATAGGAAACGGGTTTGCCCCGAAGCCTTATTGGTGTGAAAAGTCATGAGTATGCGGTACAATGTTGTGACATTGTACATTCGACATTTCAATTGCTAGTAATGATGAATATCCAATGAGTGGAGCTTTAGTATTTTGACAAGGCCGACATGATGCTTTATAGTTCAGAAAAAATGATTTACTTTGTACTTCTTGACAAAGCAAAAAACAAAAAACGTAATTCGGCCATTCCGCAGTTTGATCGCGTGTTTGTTGTTTGCTTTACCGAATGCTGCCGAGAATGTAATTTCAATACGGAAGTCATCAACCCCTGGTATTTCTCCACTTATCCACCCTGTTCTTGTTCCTCACTATGCGTACACGTGTGCTCAGGGAAAAAGTGTAGTGATTGTAGGGGTAAACTACGTCTAGAATACGAGCAGTTATTCGAAAGTTCAACGCTTGTAATCGTTTATTTATTTGATACTGTGACATTTGCCACTTCAACCTCGTTGTCATGCAATTTACTGAGAGCTTTAAATTGGACTAGCAAGGACTTTACAATATACCTGGGATTTCCATTAAATAATTCACCACATTACCCTCTCGCTCAAGACAAATAACACTATCGCATTAAAATGTCAATTTATGGTTATCTCACGATTTTTCAAAGGATATTGCGAAAATTGTTCTTCTGCACTGGCAACAGCGATAAACAAATCTTCTTTCGCTAATAGTTGTTGGTTACATGAATATTAATAAGTGATCGGGATAAATTTCTGGGATTCATGTCAAATAAACTTCAGCAAATTTGCCTGTCACTTCAGGAACATTGATGAATCAAAAGGACAACTTTTATTATTTTTCCGCTTGGTGCTGCAAGTACAGACGAACCCAGCAGCATGAGTTTTATAATCGATGGGCTACTGCCATGATACCGGAACATTTGTTTTCAATTTCACCATAAAAATGTGTATTGAGACAGCGTAAATTATTCTGTGGTCTTAAAAAAGTAGAGCGTTGTCAAAAATTAAATATTTAGATTCGCTTGGAGTCGTCATTCATAACCGGCAACACCAGTGGTACAATTTTCTTTAAAAGTTAAAGTAACATAGTATTAATAATTTATCCATTAATTTTCGCTTTTTAACGTAACGCTCTATATAAAAATTTTAGGGAGAGTATGAAAGACTTTTTGATAAAACATTAAAAATCATTTTCATTAAATCCGTCCAATTGTCCCCGGATTGATATCAAATAATAGAAAAATCAAAAATCATTAGAATATGATTTTTTTTCGTCACATGTTGTGATGAATTACTACTAAGTGTGCATTTGGCTTCGGTTTAAACGTCTCGTAGTAATTCAAAAACAACTGATAAGTTATCACATTGGACGAGTTGACATTGGTTCCCACGTCTACAATTAATTTTCCGTTGGGGTAGACAATGTTACGTTACTGCCTTGCAGATACAGTATCATTAAATTACTAACGTAATCAAGTAGCAAAATCAAGGCATTCATCTCTTACGTTAACAATTCGCCACATATATTCAATGTACCAAATGTTTCATAGACAACTTTAGAATTCAATATTAACGGACCTTTCTAATTTTTCTGTTCCACCAATTCTCTAAAGTCCCCTGCCCGTGGAAGAAATTAAAAAAAAACGTACTTTGTAGGTGAAATTATGCTGCCAACAGTTTAATTGAATGACTCGATCTTTCATTTATTGTTAACAATTAAACTTTAGTTAAAGACTCGATATAATGTAAGCTAGGTCTCCTGGCAAGCAGTTCATCCAGGGTGATTGGTCTGCCCTTTGTCTATGGGGTTGGTTCACGTGCTGGGCTGTTTCGGTCATAAACATCCCAAGAAAATATTCCCAATAACTTATTTCATCTATTGAATTTATGAATTCAATTTTACTCTTTTTCTCGCGCTGTGATTAATATAAAAAATTAGAGTGACTTTCAAGTTTCTATTACTTAGAAGCGTTCGGAAAAGCAAAAAACAATTGATAAGTTATCGTATAACACATGCCGCAGTTTTACTGCCCGTTATAAAATTAGTTTATTATGATTGTAAATATTTTCCAGAATTATGTTGGCGTGTCAAAAAAGTAGAGTGAATGCGCATCGAAGTGCGTCCAATAAAATGTCAAGGATTTCATTAGAGACTGTAAATAAATACTAGACTGACAGATTGGGACGTATTTCGCTATTGATAACGAGATAACTAACGGAAGTCGAGTTTTACGATCAAGATGTGAGTTAATGAATCGAGTACTTAAACCACCGGAGGGAATTAAGAGGCGCCTAGTGTGTCTAGCTGTGTCGGAAGTTCACGCAAAACCACAAACTCGATTACGATGGATTGTGGTTTTTTCTCTCTCGTCCTTTATCTCTGTTTCCCTTCTGTTCTCACTCATGTCACGTGAATGAGAGCAGGAATTTTTGTTTTTCAACTTCGCGAAGGCGTCAATGGGCACGTTAGCTGTTTATGGCTTGAGTTTCTAAAGGAGAGAGGATGGGGGTAGGTGTGTGGTGTGTGTGTTGGAAATATTTTCGACGTTAACACCAACAAGCGAGCCGTTGTAACAGGTCGAGGGAATAACGAAAACACTTCGGCTGTTTATAACCGTAACAGCTCAAAACGTGAACCAACCCCATAGAGAAAGGGTTTTTGAGGCAGACCTCACACCCTGGACAAACTTGTGGCCAGGGATACTTTTTAATGAACTCTCGAGCAAACAACATTGGACATTAACAACCTTGCGTACACTATATCGAATCCTTAACAAAAGTTTAATTGTTAAAAATAAATTAAAGGTCGAGTCATCAAATAAAATTGTTGACGATATTATTTCTTCTACATGTGTGCGTTCAAATGCCACATTATCCAAGGGAATATGCAATAGATTTTGCGCGTCATTGACTGTACTACACAAATAGTTTGGAGTCTATAAGGGAAACCAATAGAAAAAGAGTATGCACACGTGAGAGAGAATGACAGTAGGGGATGCAGTGGATGATTAATTAATTTTTCATTTCATTGTTCAATTGAAAAAAATAGAGGAATCTATATATATCTGAATTCTCAATGTCGTGAGAATTATTCACCTTGAAAATTCAATAAAATTATGATTTCCATTTTAATTGATGCTTGAATTTTAAAAGCCATCGTGAAAATTGGTAAATAAATTTAATTAGGCGTTCAATAGATTAAGAAGTGATAAATAAAGTGCTTTCCGCTAATCATCGTATCGGCCAGAAATCTCACAGTTCCATTAGAATCCCAATGAAATGAGTATAAATTTCATGTGAATTTGTTTGTCGTTGAAAATGTCAACATTTTTTATTGGAGAATTAGTCTACTCGCATCTGCCTATGTCATATCGACACTCCCGTTAACATTCATTCGGTAAGGAGGGAATATAATATATAAACTCGAGTCTGGTATTTTGAACTTCACTAGCCACGTGTGACGTTAGTGATTGTAAAGTGATAACGAGGTTTTGCGTGAGATGGGAAGAAAAGTCACGAATATAGTACGTGAGACTCCGTCCAACTAGTCAATCAAAGGTGTGAGAAGACTGAAGTTATGAGATCAATGTGAATCCCCATCAGCTTTGATATTCAAATAATGTATTCAACTTGTCAGAAAGTTTCTGATGTAATTGTAATATTGATCGATTCTCCCCAAGACGCCGATTACTTAATACTTACATTATCGATAGGAGATGATAATCAGGAGATTAACACTGGCTTGGAGCTGTGCAATGAGATAATTTCATGAATCCACCGAGCAATAGTTTATTGACAATTATTTGTTTGCGAAATTCAGGAAAAAAGTCGATGTCTGTCTAGCCAAAAGTCTATTCCAGTTTGAAATGGTTTGGGAAAGTGGAACAGTCTGGTCTTCGTAAGTTCAAAGTGTTGTTTCTTCGTCTCAGCAACTCCTGGGAATGTTCGGTGAATGCTTTGTTCTGGGAATTGACACTCCCCCTACGACGAAGTTAGAGACTCTTATCTGCAGTCGATGCATGGACCCGTTGAAACACCACGCCTGATTCAGGTGACACTTGAGTAGAATTAACTCGTTTCAATAACTGAGCAATCAAAGCGAGATAAATTCTTCGGAAAAAATGGGTAGTTACGAGAAAAAGAAATTGATTTGTTCCCTCGTCGATAATTCTATTTATTTCAAGAGAGCTACTAAAACGCTTCTTACCCCAGTTTTGCTGTATCATTCAGACTCATAGATATTCGTCAAACTATGCCTATTAATAATTGTGAACTTCTGAAGGTTAAACCGATTACTAGGGCAACGCCTTGAATTTTCAATGACATTTTTTTCATTGAATTAGTTTATAAAAGTATAAGATACGTATAACATATAGTACAGATCATTTTTCCGAATTGCCTGAATTCTAAATATCCCTAGAAAAATTGGGGATGAGATTTCATTCAAATTTGTTTGATCGGGCTTGAAAATTAAAATTAGAATAGTGAAAGAAATTCCACGAACCTTAAGTGAGACAAGGTGATGCATTTCATTCAATTTAGCCTCGCAATAGATTTAGAGATGTTTTTCTAGAAATTTGGATAGTATGTTGATCAGTATTTAGAAGGGTTTTATCCATGAGAGTGTATGCAAGTGAAGTAGCAGACGAAGATCCGGATACCACAGCTTCACGAGCTCGAGGCAGGGTCTGAGGGTTCCGAACAACTCGCTGTGGAGCCGGTTTTCGAATCGCCTCGAGTTCATTCTCTTGAAGTGCGGTAGAAAAATCGTGAGAATATTTGACTGTGGCTGTTCAACTGCTTCAATACAACTTCCTATAGTATGCGCATCTGGAAAGTAAAAAAAACGTACGTGGGAGGGGATACTTCCTATTATCAGACATTTGGGTTATTAAAGTAGTCTGATACCACCATAAGCGTTGAAAGGTCTAGGCTCGTTCGAAACTGATCGACATCACCATTCCCCTCTCTTCGTAATTTTTTAAAAAATTCATTCAACATTGCCCCCTTTCACACACTTCTTCGCATTCCTCCTGGCCATTAATTCGACGTATATATTGACTTTGACTTCGTTTTATGCAGTCCTAACAGCTATTGACGTGAGCGACTTCACCCTGCGAAGTCGTTGACGAAGGAAAATAGAGCAGCTTTGAAAGCACCTCTTACCTTTTATTTTCATTGATTTATGAATGAACGTGTCATAGATCTATTAGGAATTTTGCCAATTTGCAATTTCAACTGTCATAATTCGAAGAGAGAATTTATAGAAATTTTGAAAGTTCTGGGAAATATATTCTTGAATTTTCTTGAATTTAATGGGAAGAATATTTAAAACATTGTATTCGGAAGAAGTATTTGGAATGTTATGGGGATGCTAGTCCCAGGAACTCATGAAATTTTGAGGCCTGCTTTTATATCGCTCCCTTGAAAATAACTATTTAAGTTTCCATGAATTTCTTTTTTTCCCTTATAAGCATAACGCATAGTTGTTTATTACGGATGTGAAACTATTTCTTTCAAGTTCATGTCGCTACAAATTATTATGGTTATTTTTGCGATATGAATATTTTTAAGCAAAATAATGACTGGCATTTTCAAAAGTAATTTCTCTCCCTCGTTAATTATCGAAGATTCATCAATAGCTCCTTGAGACCTGAGTGAATTCGTGCACAAATTTTCGTCATTGTTGCAACAAATAGCGCAACTGTGTAACGATAGGAAAAAAAAATGTCCATGTTTGAACATATACGAACATTATTGTTCATTATTCAGCCAGTGTACGTCTACAAATAGCAAGAAGTGGTAAAATAGAAGCCAAGGGTTGAGTATTACTCAGGAAGGGTTACCCCGAACCCTCAGAAGTTTGCAATTTGCAGGAATCGGCTGCAATAATTCATGTACCAGTCAGTCGAACAAATTGAAAAGCCATGAGCTGATAATTCCCTTGTCCACCGATCAAATAGTTAGAGCGCATAATTGAAAAAGAATTTGTGACCATTTCCCATGACTCATAAGGAGCAAATAAATAGTGGAATCAGCGAAATACCGTCTGGGGCAACGAGGCTAAATAATCTATACATAGAATAAATCCAAGTAGCGAGTTCTGAATGGGAGAGCATAAGGGCGTCTCACGCTTGCGATTCAACCAGGGGACAATAAAATTTTCAACTTCCAAGGAGCATCCCCTGCAGTGCGTCGACAATGTTGCCTCCACCAAGAGGTGGAATGACCCGTTAAACAGAGATAGATAATAAACTGAAGACGAAAAATAAATAGGAAGGATTACTGGCGCTCTTCTCAATCGCTGAGTCTCCCTCTGTTTTCATCCTACGGCAACTCAAGATTTTCAACACAGTTAAAAAGCTAGAAACCCCAAGTCGGTACACAAGCGTCGCGACGCCTGTGAATTTCTACTTCTTATCCTCTACCCTCTATCTCTCTTCGCGTCGTCTATATCAGAATTTAATTCTGCCTTGCCACCGTCGTTTTCTTAGAGCTGCGCACTAGGTTCAATCGCTTTCATAAGCCCTCAAGGCGTCATAATAGAGAATAGAAAACGGCCTTGTTCCAATAATTGTATTACTTTAATCCCCCAACCATGAATTTCTCGAAACAATATTATCAATTGATTGTATATTATTGCATGATTATTTATTGAAATTTACTGTTCCAATATTAATTGACATTTATCTTGTTGGATTACTATGAGACGTATGAGACGTATTAGACTGTTGTTACGGAAGATTCAGGAGGGCGGTGTTCTCCTTCTCCCTTTTTATGGTTCAATTCCTTACTGCGCAATTTCTTACCCCTCCCTCAGTGTTGTATATACATCCCTAACAACCCCCCTCGGTACAGTGGCTTGCGTCGTTCATCGCACCGCAGTTTGCTTCGTGAAAGGCGCGGCGCATATGACTCCTTTTATACAGACAAATCGTTTCAATGTGTATCGGTAATTGTTGATTAGGCCTTAACCCTCTTCACTTTTTCTTTACCTTTCACTTTTTATTTCCTAGGAAAAATTAATGAGTTGCAGTGACGACCTGAACAGACTAAACAGACATACGATCATAACAAAGGGACAATCCATCTGGAGATGATTAACAGTGCAGATGGAGTTCAGTGGTACTTGTTGATCCCATTACATACGTTGGTGCAAGAAATTTGTGTCATTGTGATAACGTATATCTTGATAATTGGGAGAAAGGAAATGCTCAACAATAGAAAGTGGAGAGGGGTTTGTTTATATTGATAGTGGGGGGAAAGGAGTTGAAGGTGATACCGTATGGTATTATTTTTATTGATGATGATGATAAGGGCTGTACTTCATACTCGGTAAAACGACGAGCATCAGAGTTATTCGTGGTGTATTCAACCTCGTGTTCTCTCGGTGAAATCTTAAAAGGCGTCTGGCCTAGAAACACTGTCACGAAGGGAAACGTCTCTGGTGTAGGTGCCTCTCGTCTTCGCATCACCGGAAGCTATCGTCTGGTGAAAGAGTATCGGTAAATTATTAACTTCAGTCACTGAGGTGTATCATTTACATAGTTGTGAGCTGAATGGTTTATTCCTCTGATTAAATTTTTCCGGATTTTTTTTTCGCCTGGGTAATACAATCGGCGGGTAGAATTGGCCGCTAATGAACGTGAAATGTCAACAGTGAATATTTCACACCAGATGACAGGGATAAAATCGAGGTTAATCTGGATGAAGGGGATTTTTTGTTTTGCAATAGGAAGAATTTCCACAGAATTTGCTCCATATGGATGGAAATTTTATCGAGAAAACAATCTGGTCTTGCTCTCTGGTTGTTGATCATTTCTTAAATGTGTATCGCTTGGAATTGTCACGGTGGTATCCAAAAAAAATAAATTGACTGTCTAAAGAAATTGCAGATCCTGAGGGAAAGCAAGTCACATTATTGTCCTTTTATCGTTTCTCTCCGCTTAAACAGTCCTGATACTGATGACATTTAGATATACGTAACTGTTGCGATGCAGTTTATTTGGTAGATTGCTGGGGTGTTTTGGTGTCTATTGCCATAAGGAGAAACCGAATTCTAAGTGAAAAGCTAATTACAGGCTTTTATTTTCTTCTCCTGTATCGTCAATCAGATGGCAATGATTGGCATACGATTCAAGTGTTGAATAGATGGGCTGAGTGTAGGCTATTCTACTTCGACGCAATTCTTTTTTTTTTTTCCTGGGTAAACAACACAGTTTGACGTCAGAGCGTGACAATGTGATAATTCAGTAAACGTTACAATTTTCCTTTGCACCATTGTGTAAGAATTATGTGGCGCTGTTTCAATTTTTCATGTGGCATTGTAAATCCAAATTGCCTACGCGGATTTTCCTGTGCTCTTCTGGGTAGTCCAGGAATGGAAATTCCTCGTAATGGAGGAGAAACTACGAAGTGAGAATAAATAACACATAAAGTAATGCAATGTCCAGGAATCAAATGGAGTTCACGCAAGTGAACTTTGTTTCGTGATTGTCGTAACGAAAATAACCGGGTAAATTTTATTCTTTTATTATTGTTCCCTTGGTACTTGATTGGCTCCGTGTACAAAATGACGAGGGACTTTATGTCACGATAGCACTTGGGTAATTAGAGACAACTACTTGATCATTTTTACGTCGTAATAACACAAACAAATACTCTTGAAATTTCAACTTAAAAAATAAAATTCGTATATTATTTATCGTCCTATTTTTTACTGGAGCAGTCCGTTAATTTCCTAGACTCTCCGATAAAATTCTAATTTCCCATGAAATACAATTCAGTTTGATTAATCAATAAAAAATTGACTGATCTTAACTGATTTCGTGGTTTGATTGAATTCAACTGAAATTCCATGTCGCTGTGGCATTGTGAAGAACTTCAAGTTTTTAGCTGAAATTTCAGTGTTATTTATCACTTTTGCGAGTGCATAGTGCGTTTTGTTTTCACGCGGTTAGAGGGAAATAAGGTATGTGCATGATATAGTTTTGACGTGGCAATAAACGCATCGCGGCTGCTCACGGTCATGACACGATAGCCGGGCATGTGGCAATGTTTTGGCCGCGATCGATCGACGAACCTTACTGCGGCGTAGTATTATACTATCTTCACTTCCATTTCCTATTCTCCCTCTTGTCGCCCATCCAGTGCCACAGTATTTCCCTCTTTCTTCTATTCTCCATCACTGTTTCCCCTCTCACTCCAAACTCTCCCCACTACTACCATAATCCACCCACGCCCTGGTTCACCTAAACACCCCCAGACACCAGGGATTCTCAATTGTATATATTTTTATTGTATTACAACAGGCTTCACTATTTTTTTACTGTTTTACTTGTTCTAACTTTTATCACGGTTGCATGATCACGGTTGCATGATGTCAATATTTCAATGATTATTTCCATTTTCTCTAAATTCATTCCAAACTAGTAATTTAATAATTCACGTCTGTATATTCGAGATAATTAAATTCTTCTTTCTAAATGGAGACATTCGGGAGTAATGTAACCAATGAGGTCAGATGAGAATCGAGATATAGAGTGTGAGGGTGGATTTATGACACATCATTCACGAGCCACAGAACCAAACCCAATAACGAGAGAATCTCCTTGAAGCATATTTCAACGGCTCCAAATTAGTATATGAATAATCATAATCCGTATAAAACTTAAAGAATTATCGTACATTGAATTCGTTCATAAATGGAAAGTGTGACATTTGGAAATATACATTCAAACACTCATAAATAGGAATTAAATCGTCAGAATCGACTTTATATATGAATCGTTTGAAAGCTCTTTCAGAGCTCTTCAAAATGGTTTATGAGTTATCTCCATTGAAACAGTCCTATACAGTGTAAATTTCAATTTGAGAGTAATTTTGACAAGTAACGCAAGACGAAATTTTGCATTTCACGATGAATAATTATATTCATGGCCTAATAAATACTACTCAATATTAAATAGAACACCTCAAAGAATGCTCCAGGGGCATATAACTCATTCCAATTAAAAAAAAAAACGATTCCCTCGCACCTGCTATCTTGATTTCTCTCGACTTTCTTCAATTCGATTTTTGAGCGGTAGCCCAATTAAATTATGCTCTCCTTTTTATATAAGGACTATTTTCGGCATAGACTACCCAAAAATTTTCGCTCTTCCTCTTCATTTCTTTTGCCCTATTTCATTCAATGCTACGATTGGAGAGAATTCACGAAAATTTCGAGCTTTTGGCTGAATTTTCAGGTTTGAATTAGAAAATTCATATGAGTCGAGGAATTCTCGTGTTACCGATGCAAACGCTGAAATTCCATCGTAATTTCAGTAGACATACCACAAATGCGCTGAAATAATCAATCAACTTCAGAGTGTGGAGGAAATTCATTGTCCAAACATTATGGCGAAAATTCACGATTTACATATTTGACATTCCTATCAAATACTCGGTTCACTAAAATTAATTATAAGGAATGCCGTCATTAAATACTAAGAATAAAAATCATGGAGATTCAAACAAGTCAGAGCATTCTCCGTTCTTCGTTGTTAAAAACTCGGGATTTCTTGATTTTCCAAGAGAAATAATAATTTCATCTTTCTTTCCTTGAAAAACGAATTCAACCTCGTTCTCTTGCAAATGACCATTGAGCAGTTTATGAATTGTCATTTTTTATTGATAATTGAGACTCTGCCTTGATGGAATAATTATTTCCACCCTATGTAACAAAGAATGCTGTAGTAGTCCAATGTACTCTCCCTGCGCCAACTCATTAAATTACATTAATTAGGATGAAAAAAAAAGCCCAAGCAAATACCACCATTCTCGCAAACAAATGTGATGAATTTAACCACTAAACCGAGGAAAAATAAGTAAACATGGAAAATATCCGTGGGGGTAGGACCGGGTGAGATATTTGCCAGGCGGGAAGGAAATTTCAACTGGCGATTTCACCCGAGTACATCCGAGCCGGGTTCACGAGTACTGGAGAAATGTATACAGACCGTTGAGTTCGACAACACTCAGTGGTTCACATCCGGGAAATCATTTTCACCAACAATCAGCCCATGTTTTTTCACTGTCCATCCTCTCTCCCACTGGCTTTTCCATCCCCTCCATTCACTGGCCCGCATACCTCGACCTCTATTCTCCAGACATGACCTTCCCTTTCCACAGCACTATTCAATCCCATCATCACCCCAACCCTATCGACAATCTTCATCCTGACATGAAGGATTCAACGAACTGCTGTATTCCCGCGGAAATACTTCATTATTTTTATGAGGCAAGACTGAAGAAACTATTCAAACATAACGTAGAAAATGTTGCTCGTCACAGAAGAAATTTTCAATCAATTTGAGAGTGATTGTTTCTAAGGACAAGTGCTTCGGGAAAAATTATGAGTTTTAAGAAAATTGAGGAGCGAAAGTTTGGAAAAATATCTAAATGACCATCGAGCCTCAAATCAATTACTTTAGTGTGCTGTTAATAAAAAGGTGGAGATTTGAGTATCCAAGGCAACCCATCATGGGAATATTTTGTTTATATGCAGAGCTCGTTGAATTATGGCGTTAAAAATTAACGACCCCAGTATTTAATGACGAGATGTAATTTGACTTGATTTATCATCCTGCAAATATTTTCACCATTTTCCACATCAGTTCATATCATCATTAACATCTGTTGGTTGGTGCATACGATGATGATCAACATGAATGTTGAATTTCCACTTGGAACTTATCAACGCTGCTCCATGAGCCTGGTTGACTGCAGTGATGTCGCTCGACGTAACGTTCTGCCCTCGTGCATTTACTACTATCACGTAACGTACACATTTTCGAGGTTGGCGAGGTTGGCGAGTACTCCCAGCGCCTCTCAGTTGTACATCGGCTGCGAGGGGAAATTCGCCCGTTGACCGGGCAACGAGGAGTAGCGTAAGAGGGCGGAATGACGGCTGATAGAGAGGGAGGTGGGTCGAGGTGGGTCGAGGTGGGTCGAGGTGGTCCCGACGTCAAAATGGTAAAACGACAAGACCGTCGACGACGACAGAGATGGAATGCAAACTTTGTGCGATACGGGGATGCCACGAGGAAGGTTAGAGTAAGAGAGGGTTGCTGTTTGGCAATGCCAGGGGGTGTCAGGGAGGAGGGAGAACAAGAGTATCGACCATCTCCTACCATTCAGTTTGCCCCGTGTTCCGAAGCGGAACGTTGCTACGTTGCGCAGCAGCCGACAGGACCGCCCGAGCACCACCGGAGAAAATCTTTCGTACATTGAACTGGGGAGAAAAAACAAGGACAGGATGAGACCAGTACAGATCCAATGCGTCTCAATTCATTTTAAATTTGTGATTAAACGCATCTGCTTTATAATTTTTATTTTTTTATTTTTTTATTTAGCAATGGAGAATGCATGTTTCGTTCTTATCGGAGGGGGATTACTCGTTTTATTATGTCTCGCTGGAGTGGAATCATAAACGCTTGCAGGGTTGTGACAGTTGTGTCACTGGTTGGTACGCGTTTGCAGAGGGTTTTGTTCTTCATCAATTCGACTCGAAATTGGATTTGTGGAACTGCGCATGCGAAATATTATCGTCACAATCATCCTCGTGGTTCTCTAGGTATTGGCTGTATTCATTGACATCTACGGTGATTGCGTCAACCGATAGAGTAATCGGAATAATATTTGCCGATGCAGCGCCAGGTGGTTGATGCACGGCGTCGGGAAATAATTGGAAATATTATTATCTTCCTGAGTGGAGCGATAATTTTAAGGTTGGCGAGATTTTCCAATGCAAATTGGCGATTGATTTGATTTTGAGGGGAATTATCTTGCATTATATTGATCTTCATGAAATGGTCAAAGTTAAATTTCTATTCCGGTCGGTTTAGTTGTCAGATGTGGTATTTTCAGGAAATTTGTGCAGTAGCAAAAGGCAAAAAAACATTAGAAAATATATTGTGTTATCCTCTTGAATTCGATGGAATGTAGAATGTTAAGTTGGACAAGTTTGCAGCTTAGCTAATGTCCCAGGTGTTTTTAAGTCGAATATGTCGGCAGGTATAGCTCTAAACAATTTATAAATAGACAAGTGGTTCAACTTATTCATTAATTTATCTTGTTTTGAATGATTGACGAAACAATAGTGACTTTAAATTGAGCATTTCCTTGAACCAAAAAAAAATTGTTTTGTATATTTTCTATTTGCTTTCCTATTTTAGCTCGCGTGTCATCTTTCTCCCTTTCCCTCATTTTTTTTTCTCTCTCTCTCTAGTTTCCTCTCGTTTCCTCATCGTGCGCGTCATACGGTTTTATCGAGCGTCCCATTTCTCGCCCTGAAAATGCCCAGCTACAACCGCCTATCTACTAGTACAGTGTTAATGTACGAAACTAGGACCTGCCAAAATTTTCACCGTAAAATGACCTTGTGATATACGCCTGGCTTTCCTTGATACAATGAGGCCTATACTTCACAGCATTCATCAGAGAGTAATAAAACTAGAGATTGTTTATTATGGAAAGGGTTATGGAAATGAAAACAGGGTGCGAACGGAGTTATCACTGGAGATTCTTCGGAGATAATGATTGATCCGTTCAATTGAATACATAAGTATATATTATCCATTTGCGACCAGACAACTCTACATAAATCAATTAGAAGGGCTTATCACGATTTTTTCTACTGACTAATTCACTTAAATTCTTGTTAGACTCATCTGGAATTTCATTGGAATACCTTTAATTTTAATTTCATGAATTCTGACCTCAAGACAGATAACAACTGTTCATTCCATTATTATCGTGGTTGAATATTATGAATGTTTGATTGAGCATTGATTGTATCTAGTATGGAATGAATTTATTCTTCTCATTGGTCTATTTACCTTTGTCTGTACTGCCTGGCGCCATCCTCGGTATTTGATTTTCGTATTGAATGCCGTCATGAGTTGCCCGTAGGCGGTAGAAAAAAATAACTGTCTCGCATCTGGAGTGCAAAGAGGGTTAACTAGCCAATCTGTGACATGGAACGAAATAATGGATAGACGTAGTGTGAAGGAACGTCGGTTCGATGAGGGATCGTGATCAATTATTACTCGTGGGAAGATTGTACTACACTGAGACGCCAGACATAAGTCATACAATAAACTAATTGATTTAGACAAACACGTCGGTGTATATTTTTAGAGAAATGGGGAATTCAATGATTCATTATGTATTTCGAAATTTCACATCATTTGGGTATTCAAACTGAGAAAGTCAAAGAAAAAGATACAAGGAATTGAATTCAACTTCAATAGTTTAAAATTCCGAAAATGCACTGTCGCTTCTATAAAAATCACCATCAAATAACTCGAAAATTTTTACCATTTTTACCAACACTGATAATTTTCCGTATCACTCAATTTCATCAGATTGCGCAATTTCCTTTTTCCCGGGAAAAACAAGTTTTTTTTTCCTCTCACAAAAACGACGTATCATTATATTAACCTCCCGACAAACAGCCAACAATGTTAATCTCACTTGAATTTTGAGACATGTGCTTTGAATAGATGTTTGCCAGGTTGGGCTACCTCGATCCAAATTCACGACAAGACAAACAAAACACATAATCAATTTCATCTAGACTAGTCGTATACATAAAAATAGTTTTGCAACTGTACTGATAGAATGAGGAGTGTATGTTGTAACGTAAAAGTGTTGCAGTGATTTAATCGTTGATGAGGGTCTGGGATGAAATTTGTGCCGCGTGCCCCGTCGCACCGTTGATTACTGCGGCGTCACGCTTGACGATTCCTTTCCCCTTCAAATCCAATAAATTAATTGCAACTTGTTATTGAGAAGAATTTGTTGCTTGATCGAATGAGAGTAATTGACCCTCACTTATAGACCCTGTCCTTATAAGCCTGTCCGTTTATATATTGCTCTCTGATTTTTTTTTTTCTCTCTAAACTCAAATCCAGTATTAATTCTACCACCGACTGGCCCTTCCCTTCAGCACATTAACCGATTCACTAAACTGAAGATAACAATATCATCGAATTACCGCGTCGTGTCAAGAGATACAAGTTACTCTAATTATTCGTTGAGAGCGGGGTAGAAGGTGATGAAATTCTATTGGCTATTTTACTGATGCTTTTTGCGTACAATCGTAGCAGTTTACGACGTAGTAGTGGATTTTCACGGTCTTCAATCATGCCAAGTTGCGTGTCGTTGTCAGTTACGCGCCGGTGGTGGTCCGTAAATGACGTGGGCTTTTTAGGTATATATCTCATGCCCACCCGTTGTGCCAACCATTTTCCAATCCGGTGAAAAATACAACAATTTGAGGAATACTGTAACTGATCCCTGTCTCCCCTAGCGTACAATGCTAATGCTTCTCACATCGGATTACATTTTTATTATCTGGTGTCATTAGAGTAAATGTTATTAATTCAATACTCCCGAAGGGGTTGGTTCGTTGAACTCTCGGTGTCGTGGGGAGGGGGATGGGGGTGGAAAAAAAGGGGGAACTCAGGAGAAAATACTGATACTGAATAGGGGTTTGACACGCGAGTGTGGGCTAAGTGCCAAAAAGGGAGAATCTCCTGGTAATTTGCGTTTGGATTTACAGGAAGATAAACGCTTTAAAATTTGCGTGTACCGTTGTGGCACGAGGGGGAGACAAATGTAAGTGAGAGATGCGAATTTTTATATCGATTAGAACTTTGACACTTGTTAGTTGTTTGACGTTTAAGAGTTATCGTGTGGTGGATGTTTGGAGGTATGCATTTACCGAAAATTGGTGGAAATTCGGATTCCCACTCTTTTCATTCTACATTGACACCGCGTTATCATGCGGATCTTCATTATGGTATCGGGATGACCGATGTATTTCAATTAAGTCAATCATGGCATTTTTCACTGATATTTCTAACCGGATAATTTATGTAGTTATGGCATATTCAAACAATTTCGGAATGTATACAATATTCGCTATTTTCTCCTTGTTTAATTATCTTTATACACCTGGAACTAAACACTAGACTCTCCAGTAAGTTCTTCCATGAATGATTAATTTTTAATTACAGAATTGTTTGATCCCAGTAAAACGCCTGTATACAACTTGTCATTCAAATTCTAATGAACGCTATGAAAACTAGATAAACTACCCGAAATAAAATATTTCATAAAATAATGCAACGCTTAGACAAATGTTCGTTTCATCTGATGCAGTTTTATTTTTGTTTTTGCATCATGATTCACAGAGTTATCATCATAAGTAACGCACGTGTTGAAAGTAAATCGCAAATATTTATTTCTCAATTACAGATGCATTAACGTATGTCATTATTTTCTCAAGCTAAAGGAAAACGAAAACTCATCGTTCATTTTTTTCTTGTAATCGCCTTAGCTATTCAATTATCCTAGGCTCTATTCCACCCGGTTTTCTTGGGTGATAGACGAGAATCATTAATTGGTTTGGTAGTATACGTCATGTCAGGTGATTTAGACTGAAATGATAGAGCGAACTGCATAGTTGAGGATTTGCTGAATAATCTGGCTTCTTGATTAAATTGTCATCTTTGCCGATTTCAATTCTACCTCGAAATCAATGTCCACCTATGCTAATTATCTTCGCCATTCCATTCTCCTACGATTTGGTACACTATGCCCTGATAAATTTCCCTTAACCCTTCTAATAGTTATAATTTTAGTATAAATTTTTTCTCCCAAAATCCTCAGCTCTTCCTCAAGAACAAAAAATTTCAAATAATTCATACAGCTCATAAATCTCAACACTCATTTTCACAATATTTTAATGCCCATTAAAGCCAACACAGATTGATAACGCAATTATAATTTGTTTCAGAAATGCATGTATATCCGGACGTCACAGCGAGGCATTGATCGTGGGTGGTGGAAGATGAAAATACCTAGATTCGCGTTCTCACCGTGACGCATGTCACAAGATTATATTTAAAGGTCATATTCCCGATCGAAATTGATGAGACTTTGAAAAAAAAATATTGAAATTCCAGCATTGGAGAGATTCAACAAATATGCAGCAATAAAAAAATAGTGAGCGATGAACTTGGCGGTAGCGATTGGTAGAACATGGCCAGAAGTGTTACAAATCGTGCCCCATCGGGATTATTGTGGATGAGCACCAAAAATAAGAGTAATAATACTGAAGAATCCCATGATGTCACGGGCTACAGTAATTTATTTGAGGATGCTGAAGATATCGGGTGCAGTTATGCTATTGAAGATTGAGCCTGTGATATTCATAATATAACCGAATCGATTAACGCTGCTATTAGATCACTTGTTTGTGTTGGAAAAATGGAGTCTTCCCGGGTGATTTTTGGCTGTCCAGATTGTATGAGCAATCTGGTATCCACGGCGTCCACCACAAGGTGTTCACTCTGCGAGCGTCTTCAGGGTAATCCCACGGAATCTGATGATATGAGGTATAAATTGTTGGATAATGCGGGGAGTAATAACGGGTTCAATGCGAATGGTGAGAGAATCCAGTGTCATGGATTTATAAGAACAATGAGGACGCGTTATGGAGATTCACGTGGTGCTTCGAGTGTTGTACGATGGGCAGGGTCCAGTGGAAATTCTTTCAGTCTTCTCAGTGTCACAGTCTTTGTTTTGCTGATTGCATTTGTTAATGTGACAGTTGCCGAATTGAATCTATCAACCGTTGGAAAAGCAACGAATTCCTCCAACAATGGTGGTGAGTACAATTATTCTACATGATCAATAATTATCAACATTAATATAACAGATACGTTGAGATTTCGGTAGAAAAGAAAATGCATCCGAATTTAAAAAATTCCATAGTGTTTTCTCCATTCGATTTTTCCGTGTAGATATAAATATTCAAAACGGAAAGTCACCAAAATTTTGGATTTTCACCTGAAAAATTATGATGTTTGAGGATTTATGCATACGATGAACTAATTACTCGCGTAATTGAAAGAAAATTTTCTCATGAGCTTAAGTCATGGGCTTGATGACTTAATGAGACAATCTCGTGTTTTATTTTTACTTCGCGCGTACATACTCCTTTTTTTGAATAACACTCCTCTCTCTCTCTTTCCCGGTAACTGCCCAGACTGAAATTTATCGTCGGGTGGTGTTTACGATCCGGTGTTGCACGAGCGTAAATTTGTGTATATTAATAACGACCCTTCGCCACCAACATCAACAGGCAGGCATTAACGTGCCATTTTATTGCGTTACGAACGTTATTCCACTTATGTTGATTGATTGAAATTGTGCGATTCAATATTGTTCCCATGTTATTTACGGTTAATGAATTACTCTGTGGTATGCAGGGATGGTATGTGTTGTGGAGTAATCGAGTGGAAATCACGAGTCAATTCAATTTCTATTTATAATCCCGTTATATCGTGTGATTTTCCCCAAGAGAGAATTTACCAATACTGAAATTACCCACCATTACCTTATTATTTGCATTTTCCATCTTTTTCATCGGTAGGAAAAATGGAGATAGGTATTGAACGAATAGAATTGATTCACGTCACGCATTTCCGTCAGGACTATTTTTATTCACAATGGAATACATTGGAAGAAATTTTCGTTCCATAAACAGATATAGCAAATAGAGGGAAATAAGAATTTTCTGAAGAAAAAGTGACGAATTCTCGTGTTTTGTCTGGCGAAGTCGTGCTTCTATCTATCTCTTCCGTTCTTGATGCTGTGGCTTGCCTTCATCTCACTTCCTTCTTTCCCTTGTTACATTTTCACATCCATTGTTGCCTGACACAGTATACGTCTAGTTTTATCTTCCTATCGCAACGTCCACACAAGCACTGTGAATAGCGTGAAAATGGGATTATTCAGTGACGGATACTCTTACCAGGCTTTTCGCACAATACCTCACAGGTCTTCCTATACTCAGAGCAAAAAGTCTTTTCTTACATATGTTTTACTTTCGTCAAGAAATTTTTTCACTGTCAATTATTGAATTATATAAATTGACGTCCAGAGATTTTTCAATTATTTTCTTTATTGAGGCATTCAAAGCAATAGGTTTACACTGCTATAAATTAATACAGGTGTGTTAGAAAGATTCTTCTTACAGATGTCCAGAGATGATTAAAATTTTTTTCCTCTTTCCCAAAATCTAATTTTGGCATGAGCCCACAGATATTCACCGGTAGATAATAATACACCTTTCAGAACTGGGAAAAATGTCATACATCTACAAGTATCCAGACGTTCTGTCAACAACAAAGTATTATTTAGATGAATAGGAAAATTCATTGAATTTAGATGTTGCGTAGGATATGATTTCGCAAATAGGAATGGGTCGTAGAAAATAAAATAGCTTTAAAACATGAAATTAATGGGTGGCATCTGGTAAAATGGTTTCGCAGGCATTCAATAGGGCTGTAACATTGAGAGTACAGCTATTAAAATGAGGAGTTGAACGTAATATAACTGTTTACCATCAAACGAGGAATTTGTTTTATATTCTGTTCTTTATATTTTTGTTCTTTTATCCTTGCGGATGTACAAAAAATGAATTAGTGGAATATTTGTGTGACTTTTAAGGAATATTGACGCAAAAGTAGTAATTCATTGGAATATTTCAAACGATCATAATTATTCTTTCGTCTATCCATCAACGGGGTATCGCTCTTATTAAACAAAACGCAATAAATAACAATTTGTTCCATTTACATCGAGAGCGATGTTACTCAGGACAACAGTGCAAAGTACCATTAATCTTATCGGTTGTATTTTTGCTGCTCGTTTGGGTAAGTTTTACATGTATATGAGAGATATGACACTGACCTCGCTACCGTGTCATCATTAATTCTGTGATAGGCTTTTCATTAATGAAATTTAATCGACATGGAGGAATATTCCGCCCTAATTGTCGAGAGTGAATTGATGGGCGGAGACGGAGGAAAGGACACAGTAAATGAGTGCAATTTGGAATTATTCATATTTCTATTCATGTGTCACATTGATTATTAATGGGTTGTTTTGCGAAATGTGTCATTTTCAGGGAAACTATTCGTCATTCAAATCGATGGGCATTAGCTGGCGGCCGCGTTTAGCAATTCCCCGAACGAAATTAATGAACAGGTGAATGATTTTTTTTTTTTCCTTTCAATTAAAATAATTTCGGGTGGTAACATTTTCGGAGCATTTATTCATTCAAAGCCCTAATTGATGCAAGTAGATGCATAATTTGTGTCAGAAATGTCAATTGATTTGAACGAAGCAATTGAGAATAAATTGGTTATTACATTGATTCATACACATATTGCTGGTAAATTACTTTTTCCCTCAAGAGCTCAGTTCCAGTCGTGTTTGTTTCACTCTTCACTCGTAAAATGGGGGAACAATTTTCTGGTTAATGATTTTCTAAGAATGGAGAAATCGAATGTGAAAACCGAAGGAAAAAAAAAGACACGGATAATAGGTTTTTTCGTCGAAGGGTACTACATCTCCAGGTAGAGAGTGATTCGAATGGGTTGTCTGTTGCACAACCACTCGATGTGGGTGATTGTTATTGATTGAAATATACGCACGATAGGTTAGACCGTTGTGAAAGAGAGTGTAGTTCAGGGCAATGACTAAATAGTGGCTTGCGCGAAGTCTCCGACCTATTGGGACGGTAAAATTACTTCATCCGGTCTACCGGTGATATTCACCGACTGCATACCTGATGCGCTCCATCTTCACAATCCCAATGATAAAAATATTATCGTACAAAAGTTCAATTGTATCAACCGGAAGTGTTTGAGGTGCATTCAATATTTAATAAGACAAACTTTTCCAATAGTGAATTGTCGTAACAAATATTGATCTTTTACTTGTAATTTCAATAATCATTTCCTGATAGTATAGTGCCGGCAAATAATTTGTGAACAGAGTTGTAAATGGTTTTTATGGGCTGAAACAACAAGAATAACTTTCCTTTATTTCTTTTTTATTTTTGCATGGTCTGGACAGTCAGTCGCCACTCCCTCTCCATTCTCCTAGTGATCGCGTGTCAACGCGAAATGATCGTCATTTCGTAGGGGAAACTGACTTCGGGAAATTCTCAAAAACCTCGGCATTAGGGACTAAAAAGAAACATTTGCATTTACGAATAAAAAAAATGGAAGGGGTAACGGCGAAAATTTCTGCGGGGTTAATGAACTTGTCAGCGCTTCCCTCCTTGAATACGTTCGAAATTTCCATACTAACGAGTAGTAACCGGACAAAATGTTCAATATCCCACTTGAACCTCTCACACTGTTGGCTTTTATCCACATGAAGGGCACGAAGTAACAAGGGATCGGACACTGGTTGTTTCAAGTTTCGCTGCTCCATGAAGCTGACGAGTGCAACGAGAGAAATAGCAGTAACGGAATTTTGGTTTATACCCAAGAAGAACAAGGACGGATGTAAAGGATAAACGAAGCCGGAGGTGAAGTCCAATTTTCCACTGGACTGGCTGTAAGATCGCTTTACCCACATTTTCGTCACTTATATTCCCGGTGTTTCTCCCTCATCCTCACATTCTCATTTATTATGAAACATTGATTTGACTGAGGGATGTCCAGATTGGTGTAGAAATTGAGAATGCAGCAGCAAGTTTCGTCCTTGCGATTCAGAATTGCATTTATTAAGAGAAATGACAGCTACCTGGTATCAAATACGTCAATCAGCACTGATTTTTTCTCATTCAGCCGGAAAATACCCATATCAGCTAGAAAAGGTTGAGATCAAATTCATCCTCAATTTAAGTAATTTCTGTGACTTGATTCAGTTGCCATGGATCTCCCGTCGAGATGTACAAAAAATTGTGACGTGTCATATAAGTGTCGCATGATTGTCACATGACAGATACAATTTATCATCATTTTTGTCACATGACCAAATTATGACGGTATTATCACATGGCCGTAATATCCCAACTAAGTAAATCATGATCACTCCTCAATTTTCTAACATGTATTTCATGTGATTGTCATATTCTACCTAGTGATGCCCAATTTTTTTTATGCCACAATGGTCATAATACAAAAAAAATCACAATAATTTGCTCTTTTATGATCTCACGATTCAAGTAAATGTCTACTTGATTCGAAACATGTTTTTTCCGCGTCAAATGATGCTCATCACCAACATTGATTGTTTGATGATCCCTCACGATTCAGCAAGGTGCTGCCAACATCCAAAATTAGGAATCATGCGGAGTAATTTTCGTTCAGCCGTAAAACCGCGATAATTGTTTCACGTGTACTCCACGGTTGCATTCATCTCCGTTTCGACGATGACGGTATGACAAGCGTTCGATGAATTGACAATTGATCCAAAAATTCTCTCATGAACCGATTTTCTATTCTAAGACGGCAATGCGTCAGAATCATGCACTGGGTCATGAGTTATTACTCATCGGTGTTATTCGAATTCATGTCTAAACAGTGTGATTCACTACTCTATCCTTTGACTGCTTCAATTCGGTTCGGAGTTCCGTACTGTCTGTTATAAAAAGACAGCCCCAGGAGCACTTACCAACTGGAGTGGAAAATTAGCTCAGGTCTGCATCAAGTTCCTATGAAGTCAGACTTGATGATGGGTCAGGTACAACTCCTACAACTTGATCAGGACTTGATAACCGAAATTAAAGATATTCATCAATGATGGTGAATAATAATAATAATAATAATAATAATAATAATAATAATAATAATAATAATAATAATAATAATAATAATAATAATAATAATAATAATAACAATAACAATAATAATAATAATAATAATAATAATAATAATAATAATAATAATAATCTCGGTATAACAATGTAATAATATATATATGGAATATTTAATAATCAATTGTTCCTGTGTTTCCATTTTGTTTAATTACAGACTTAAAAAAAAAATAAAATATGATTCT